TCAAAACAACCAACCAAACCAACCAACCAAAAAGTATAAAATAAAAACAGTATGGATCTAAATAGGGAAGTTATTAGATTTCTTTCCCAGACTGGTTGTGCGACCTTCTCTGTTTTGAGGCTGGATTATGTCTGAGATGTCAGTTTGCACTTGTTCCACATACACTAACAAAAAAACAGACAGTGGATATTTTCTTTAGTTCTCTTTTGTACATCTTAAATTTGAAAGTGAGCTGTTATGTGATTACCAATGACAGCTTCAATCAATGATCTGTAAATACAAATATTAGGAATCTCTTACATACATTCTTTGTTCTTGCTACATGAATACGAGTTAATGACCATACCGATTTTTCACTCCAATATACTTTCTTTTTCTTTTTTTTTTTGGAAAACAAAAAGGTAATAAAAACACTGCAGTTAGATTGTGGCTTCTTCTGCCCATTGCTTTAGGGTTTTTTCCGATTTTCTGTAAATCAGATGCAAAATGTATTGTTGATTATAAGTTGAAGTGTTGCATTGAACAGGTGTTATTGCTGCCTTCCACCTTCACCCTTCACTGTCAAACATAAAAGTTTTAGTAGTTGAAACCAAAGACTCACTGTCATACCTGCAATATACCTGAGACATTAGCTTGGGCTTGTGTCTCCCTCAGGACCCCCACTGATAGCAACCAGTGGGATTGATACCCCCAACCACCAATCGGCAATCACTTCTTCTCCTCCTATCGGACCACCTGGTGTGGGACTGCCGCCTACTCTTCCTCCTCCTCCACCTCCTCCCTCCTCGTCCTCATCTGTGTCTCTTCGTCCCCAATATGTCCAGTCTGAATGTAAGCAGCGATGCTTTTCATATTCAGATTGGGACTGTGTTGTTTGGAGGCGACGTTGCTGTGGCTCTACTTTCCACCGTCTGCTTTTATTTTTTGTTCAGTTAATTATTGTAGATAGGTCTTTATAAAGTTAAAGTTGAACAATAATGGTAGTGAGCGTTAAGTTGCTTTTTGTGAACTTTTAAGTACACGGTTGTTCTGTTTTCTGTCACTTAAGTTGGTGTGATGTAGTGTGTGTACATGCATTTCTTCAGGTTGCAGTAACAGCTGTTGACCAGAGGGTTGTGCTATTTATTAACCTAAGAGACAATGTGGCTTTGAGCAGTTAACATTAACTCTGCTTCATGTTATTGTGTTGAGTGCTTTCCCCATAATTCACCTTGTGAATAATTATGCAGTTCTGTAAAAAAGCTAAGGCACAGTTCAAATGGAGTGTGTCTGTTTTTAGTTAATTACAAATTCTCAACTCATCTGCTACGAAAGCTCCCATTTTGTTAAATGTTAAATG